TGTGTGTGAGTGCAGGGCTGTGTGTGTGAGTGCAGGGCTGTGTGGTGCTGGTGGTCGGTGATCATCTGTGACTGTTGCTGTGTCTCCCACCCTCAGTTCGCAGCCTGGGTTGATGCCGTGGTGTTTGTCTTCAGCCTGGAGGATGAGATCAGCTTCCAGACAGTGTACAACTACTACCTGCGGCTGTGCAGCTACCGGAACACGGCGGAGGTGCCGATGGTGCTGGTGGGCACACAGGGTGAGTGCCGGCAGCTGGGGGTGCCAGGGTCTCTCCCTACCTCGGGCTCTATGCTGCATTCAGGCAGTTATTAGGAGAGGCTCGGGTTAGGGGCCTTGGAGGAGCTCCGTAATTCCTCCTCAAGCCCTCCCAGCTTCTGTGCACAGAGCTGCTTCTGTTCTCCACCTCATAACGCTGCCTTTGCGCTGCCTTCCCAGCTCCTGCCTGCAGTGGCTGAGCATCAGGCCGATGCCTGAGGGTTTGGTGCTGATGCTCTGCCATCTGTGCTGCTGGGGCAAGTTGCAGCAGGAAAGGTTTGAGGGGTGGCATGGAGCTGCCAGCTCCCACGGGCTGAGCGGTGCTGTGCTGGGCGGTGGGGCTCTGCCACCCCCGAGTGCTGCCAGCCCAGCCTGGGCATGGGGAGGAGCAGCAGTGTGCAGAGCTGCCCTCCTCCTGCTGCCTGGGCAGGGCTGGGGCCCTGCAGTTGGATTCCGGCTACCCGGCGTGTTGGGGCAGCAGGCTTCCAACAGCCAAAGTGCAGCACCTGGGAAGCGGGGAGGGGAGCAACAAGGGCAGAAGGGGAGCAGTGAAGCTGCAGGTGCCTGAGCTCCGTGTTTCCATGAGGAGAGTCCTCCTACGTACAGGCACAGGGCATGGGCAGAAGGGACCCTGCACACGATCTGTGGGTGCAAGGTGCCAGCAGAGAGCAAGAGCAGGGGATGGAGAATAGGAAGAAAGCCTCGGTTGGACTCAGCTCCTGAGCAGAGCGAGCAGTTTGCCACCGAGAGCTTCTGGAGCAGGAGGTCTCAGTTTGTGTGCTCTGTGCCCCAGGCTGAGTCCAGGACAAAGTTGTAAAAATTCTGGTATTTAAAGATTGTGGAATTGGTTTAGGATTCAGGGATCTTGGTGTGGCCCCGGGCTGGGTGGTACAAACAGCCTCTTGTTAGTGCTGTCAGCTGTGAGCGCATCCTCAGAGCCAGCTTTCCCCATTAACTGAGCATCATGTCTGTATGGCCCTAAGAGCTGAAATGATGACAGATCCACTCAGCTCTGCCATTGAGGCAGGCTCGCAGATGAGTGCACGGTGGTTCCAGCTGCCGTGGCACACATGAGTGACTTCCAGCCCGTGGAAGCACCGTCATCCCCACGCAGAGGGGGCTGTGCTCGCACCCAGGGCCGCCCTGCTTACACCTTTGCCCCCAGCTCTGTCTGCTGTCTCTGTGCATCCTCCAGCTGCCCTCAGCTGCAGTCCCATCCGTGATGCTGGGTTCTTGGAGCCCTGTCCTGTTCCACACACCCAGAAAGTGCAGCGTCTGGGTGGTTAGGAGAGTAGAGGAAGGTTCATTTGAAAATGTGAACAAATCCACGTTCTGCAGATGGGACTTCATTACCCGAGGCATTAGTAGGGCAGGATGTGCTGCACAGGTGAGTATCGGTGTGAAGGAGCAGGAGGCCAGGAGTGCCGGGGCTGTGGGTGTGAGGGACACAGCTGCCTGCTCCTCACCTCTCTCCCTTGCCTTGCAGATGCCATCAGTGCCACCAACCCTCGTGTCATTGATGACTCTCGGGCACGGAAGCTCTCCAACGACCTGAAGCGCTGCACGTACTACGAGACCTGTGCCACCTACGGGCTGAACGTGGAGAGGGTCTTCCAGGATGGTAACTGCAGTGTTTGGAGGTGTTGGGGCCAGGCAGGAGGCAGTGCGTGGGCTCAGCATGTCCTGAGCACAGCTGGGAGTGCTGCCGGGGGGCTGTCGGCGCACAGCCTCATGCAGTGCAGTTACTGTGCAGGCACAGACCTGGTCTGCGAGCGGCCAAGAGGGCCAGAGGGACCCTGGGGTGCGTTGCAAAGAGTGTGGCAGCTGGGGACGGTGCAGGCAAACCGATGCTGGTGCAGGGTGATGATGCTGGGTGATGATGCAAGGACTGAGGGGGGTGATGATGCAAGGACTGAGGGGGGTCTCAGCACGAGGAGAACTTTTCCAGGCCGTGTCCCTGGGACGCAGAGCGGGGAGCAGCAGTGGGGAGATGGGAGGGATCCTTGTCTGCGTGCAGGAGGAACGCTGCTGGAGAGACCTGCTGGATTCTGGTGTTGGCATTTCAAAAGGGTGCAGGGAAATGAACGTTTGAGAAACATCAAGAAACTGTAGAAATGAATCAAAGGTCAGAAAAGGTAGCTGAGACAGTGTGAGGAGCTCAACCATTTCACAAATACAGAAGATTGAGGAGTAACTTGATTACAATGGCTGAATACCTACGTGGGGAGAAAGCCACAGATAACGACCAACTGCCGGCTGGCAGAGAACTGATGGGACAAGGAGGGTATTAAACTAAAAGAGAGGAGGTTTGGGTCAGATGGTGGAGGGAGATTCTTCACCCAGAGGCAATGAGAGCCTTGCACCGCTGCCCAGAGCCGCTGCGATGCCCCACTGCCATGGAGGGACTCTGGGCAGCCCAACCTGGTGTGGGGCTGTGGGGGCTGTGAAGTTCCTCCTAACCATTCTATGGTTCAGCGATCTTCAAGGTTCCACAGTGGAGAAGGGAAGATCTGCAACCTGAGGTTGCTGCTCATTTTGCTGAGTTTGCTCACATATCCATGCTGTGCAGTGCATGCACTGACCTCTCTCATTGGTGTTGGTGATGGTAGGACTAGAGGGAATGGCTTCAAACTGTGCCAGGGGAGGTTTGGGCTGGACATTAGGAAACACTACTTTTCTGAAAGAGTGGTCAGGCGGTGCAATGGGCTGCCCAGGGGGTGGTGGAGTCACCGAGCCTGGAGGTGCTCAAGGAATGTTTGGATTTTGTGTTGAGGGACGTGGTTTAGTGAGGACGATTGGTGATGGTTGGACTGGATGATCCTGTAGGTCTTTTCCAGCCTTGGTGTTTCTGTGATCCTGTGACCTCGTTCCAGGTGCAGGATCAGGTCCAGATGCAGCATCAGGTCCAGGTGCAGGATCAGGTCCAGGTGCAGCATCAGGTCCAGGTGCAGCATCAGGTCCAGGTGCACACTCTGTGCTGCCCTGTGCAACACGCAGTGCTGGTCCCCTTGGGCAGCACGCTGAGGTTGTGCTGGTCCTGGTGCGACCGCTGGTGATGCCTGGCTAAAGGCTGAGGCCAATGCTTCCTCCCCAAGGCTCTGTCTGTGCAGGAGCCCCACGTGCGGTGCTGCTGAGTACGGGGAGGCTGTGGGAAGGTCCCAGCTGCAGCATCAGAGCTTTGGCAGTGGCAGCTGTGGGTGCCTGGAGGGGCGGGCAGTGCAGAGCCTTCCCTCCTGCCAGGAGCTGCCGCAGGGTGGGAGCAGCGCCTGCTGGTTGCTGAGCTTTGGAGGCGTAGGGTTAAGGAGCTTCGTTCTAAATGCAGAAGTCTCAGAGAGCTTAGAGGATGCCAGGACAACAGTGATAATCATCAGCATGGAGGTGCCTCGACTCTCACGCCTCGTCTCAGCAGTGTTTCATGGGCATGAACTGGAACACAGGGAGTTCTGCACTAATGCTTCACTGTTCAGTGGCAGAGCCCTGGGACAGCCCCAGGCTGCCCACAGGAGTGGGGGTCTCCTTCTGTGGAGATATCCAGGAGCTTCCCAGATACCTTCCTGTGCAACCTGCTGTAGGGATTCTGCTGCGGGGTGTTGGACTCCACGATCTCTGTAGGCCCCTCCCAGTCCCTGCTGTTCTGTATTGGAGCAAAGGCTGGAGGGCAAATTGTGGAGAGCCCTTTGGCAGTGATTGTCTCGGTGCTGTTTCTGAGCACTGACCCTGCAAGTGCACAGGGAGAGCTGCAGCCATGCTGCACTGCTGCCTTCCCTGCTGTAAGACTCCACGTGAGGTGCTCAGATGCCAACCAGTCCTGCAGCACCGTGGTGGCATTTGGCCAGTGGCAGCCCTGTACCTGGACAGAGGTTTTGCACAGGGATGGCTGCAATGGTTGCATATCTGAGAGCTCTGTGTAGCAAGGGGAGAAACCTTGGTGAGCAAAAGGCCTCAGGCACAGTCGTGAGGGTGGCAGGTCATCCTTGAAGAACTGAGTCCTGTGATGTTGGACAAGCAGAAGCTCTGCTCAGTGAGCAGCGATGTGAAAGCCAACTCGAGATGCCCTCTGATGGGGCAGGTGAGATTTGATCGCTGACCTGTGAATGTATGCATGTGCAATAGCCAGGTGGGACTGAAAAAACATTTGGCCAACACTCTGTATTTCGGCATCAGTGAGGAAAGAGAACGCTCTGATGCTCACTGCTGGTGAGCTGCAGCAGCCAGAAGTGGCTGTGATGTGGGGCAGACGTGGCACAGGGCTGTGCTGCAGCCTTTGGGTCCTGCCTGGGCTCCCCTCTCCATCACTCACCTCCTGTTCACTCTCCTTGGAGGCCTCGCACTGTGCTGAATGGAAAGCCTCTGTTTACTTGGAGCAGGTGGGAATTTGCTGCTGCACCAGCAGTTTCTGCCACTTTCAGCCTCAGGGATTCTGCAGCTCGGTGTTTGTTGTCCCAGGTTGTGCCAGGTTGGGTATTAAGAACAATTTGGAATCCAAAGAGCAGCTGGGTGCTGGCACAGCTGCACAGGGAGTTTGGGGTCACCGTCCCGGGGGTGGACAGGAGCTGTGGAGATGTGGCACTGGGGGATGTGATTGGTGGGAACGGTGGGGATGGGGATCTCAAGTCTTTTCCAGCCTTAATGGTTCTGTGTGAAACATGCTGGTCAGGAGATGTGATGTTCCCAAAAGTTCCTCGTTGTGACTGCAGGGATGGCCAGCAGTGTGCATGAGGGGCAGAAGGGGCGGCGTGCAGCCATGGCTGATGCTGCACTCCTTGGCTGGGAGATTGGGAAGGCTGAAATGCAGCTTTGGGCTTTTGGCATTGGGCGGTGAGGTTGAAGGAATGAAGGGCCGTTTGTGATGCTCATTTCTGGAGCATCTGGAGAGCTGAGGGCCACGTGTGCCCTGGCCAAGGGAGGTGGCACTGCCCAGGCTGCCCAGTTTGTCCCTGGCTCCTGTGGCCACTGCCAGGGGGTCATGGGCTCTGTGTGGCTGCGCAGTCAGTGCTCTGCATGGGACCCGAGAGAGTGGTGGCCTTTGGGTGCTTAGTGTGGCATTGCAAAGGAGCTGTACCAAACCTTGCAGCTGCGCAGCGCTGCTGACTGTGATGGGGATGGCCAGTTTGGGTGCTCTGCAGAAATCTCCTCTGTTACTTTGGGATGCTGCAGTTCGAGCCCCAGGAGTTGGTATCAGGCAGGGGGAGGGTTTGGGTCTTGCTGAAGCTCTACAGAGATTTGTTGAGGGGCGAAGTGGCTTTCAGGTCTCTGACCCTGTCCTTTTCTCTGCTCTTCCAGTGGCTCAGAAGGTGGTGGCTCTGAGGAAGAAGCAGCAGCTCTCCATCGGTCCCTGCAAGTCCCTGCCCAACTCACCCAGCCATTCGTCTGTCTCCGCAGCCTCCATCCCTTCTGTTCACATCAACCAGGTGGGAAACAGGAACAGGGGAAGGCAGGAACCCCACGTGCTCCTCCCCACCCCTCCTTCACTGCACAGCGCAGACCGTTCAGCCTCGCTCTGCACTCACACCACAGCCCTGGAGTAGCTGTTGGGAGGGCAGAGCAGCTGTTCACTGGAGCATCAGCCCGTAGCCCAGAACGTTGCTGACATTGGTGTCAGGCTGCAGTACGAGCCATTGCGTGTGCTGCACGTCTGCAGGCGTTGTGTGGTGCTCCTGGAGCAGCTGCTGCACAGCTGTGAGCTGTGTGCAGGGAGCTCCTGGCAGAGCAGGGGTCTGTGATGCAGCCAGGAGTGCACCTGGTCCTGCTGCCCTGGCACCAGGGGGCTGCTGGCCTGTGTGCATACAGGTGGGCTCCTCCAGCACGTCTCTGGAGTGCCAGGGGTAGTGCAGAGGAGAAGGGAGTGCTCTGGGAGCTCAGGAGGGCATGGTGCTGTTCCTCAGGCATGGCATCAGCCTGGCAGGAGCTGCCACGGTGTCTGTGCTGGGTGATGGAGCAGATCAGAAAGCGGAGCAGGCTGGCATAGCAGGGGGGTGGTGCAGGAGACCCTTGGCAGCCTGCTTGCTGCAGTGGGGCTTTGTTACAATTCCTAATGCACGTGCAGGTGCTGAGCTGCTTCTGGTGAAGGTGAGAAATGGCTCTGCTGGTCCTCAGGTGCTCAGGCCAATGGAGCAAGCTCCAAAGCAGCTGTTACCATAGAATCATAGACTGGTCTGGGTTGCAGAGGAGCACAGTGCTCATCCAGTTCCAACCCCCTGCTGTGTGCAGGTCATCAACCAGCGGCCCAGGCTGCCCAGAGCCACATCCAGCCTGGCCTGCAGAGATGGGGCATCCGCAAATGGATGTTATGTTGCAATCACTGGGCCTGTCATAAGGACTTCACTAAAGTCATAAGGACTTCACCCATTGCTGTCAGACTGGGGAGCAGCAAAGGCTACAGCTGGGTCCTCTTGAGTGCTGGGAAGTGACACAGATGGAGCAGTGTGAATCCCTCAGCTGCTTTGTTGGTGAGCAACACGTGGGATGGTTTTTGAGGAAGAGAGTGGCTAAGGACTCAGAGGAGCACGTGAAACTGAGAAGAGGGTGAGATTGATCTCACATCAGGGATTTTAAACACCCGTATGAGCATCATGCCTGACCATAGGTTTGTGGTGCTGGACTGTGAGCTGCTCTGTATGGATTTCTGCAGCTCGCTGGTGCTCCAGGTCGGGCTCCAGCCCGTTACATGAGTTCTGTGTGCAGGTGAATACGCTGAGCCCCACTGGCAGCAGAGCTGCTGCTGAGCCACACAGCCTGCTGAGCACAGTCCAGCAGCTTGCAGTGGGAGCAGCGAGCACAGCTGCCTGCAAACATGCACAGCCATCCCTGTCCTGCAGCGTGCCTGGGGACCCACAGCGCTTGGGAAGGCTGATAGGAGGCCTCCAGGTTAAACACAGGTGTGAGTGCATCCAGTGTGAGAGAATTGTCTTAGCAAACTGGGGACAGTGAATTGCTGGAGATGGGAGGCAGTCTGTGTGGGAAGGGTGCAGGCAGCAGAAGGCCGTGTTCCTCAGGGAGGAGCCGTTTCCTGTTGTGTTCCATGTGCCAGAGTATGAAAGAAGCACACTGACAAACTAATGATGGCACTGCTGTGCCTGTCAGCGTGTCTCTGTAGTGGGCAGAAGCATTCCTGTGTGTGGTGGTGGCTCCTCAGTGGGATCCCACTCGTGAGCGGGCGTTTGGGCTGAGCAGAAGGAGGCTTGTGGAAGAGACCTTTGTGCACAGGAGGGTGCCAAGCTCTTGGCTTGTTCAGCTTAGAAAAGCGGGGGCCAAAATGGACCAAACCCAACCTCTGAAGGACACAAATGTGAAAGAAAACCACTTTTTGTGAAAAGGTGCTAGCACAGAAGGGGTGGATCTAAGAGTGGCCAAGGGAAGGCAAAGTTTGGGCATCAGAGGAGGTTCCTAATGGCGTGGCATGAGCTGTGTTCGAGGTTCTTGCTCAGAAACCTCCTTGCTTTCCTTTCCTCCCTGCAGAGCGCCTTTCAGCCCGGTGTGCAGACGACCTCTGTGTAGAGGTGGATGTTGGCTCCTGGGCCCGGAGGCAGAACCTTTTCTCTCAGCTCCCTGCTGTGCTCCTGTGGCTTTGCTGGAGGGACCTGGGTAGATCTGGTGGGAAGCAGAGCCGTTACAGGGAAGTGATGCAGCACGAGCCAACAGGGAATGGCAGCTCGCTGTGAGGCCTTTCTGAACGACACGTAGTTCCTGACTGGCTGGACTGCAGCAGTGATAGAGGCCGTGTCCTTCTGGAGCTTCTGCCCTCTGTCTTCCCTCTCCCATCCCTGCTCTGTGCCTGTCCAAAGCTTTGTCTGTCCCTGTACTTGACCAGCCTGGGGGCCGCAGTGAGGACCAAAGCTCATTTCTGTTCCCTGGGTCTTCTGCGGCTCCACCACAGCCCCCCGGGTTCCCAAGGACCCCCTGCAGCACTCTGTGCCTTGGTGCTTGCAGATTTCCATCGCAAGAAGTACTTCTCCCTAGAACAGGAGCTGGTGAGTGATTGCGGAGTGCCTTGCAGTGTTTGCACATTCTCAGTGGGGCTCGGAGTTCTGGATCTGCTTCCCACTGTCCCCAGCACAAATCCAACTGCCTTTGAGAAACCAAACTGTGTCCATTGCAGGTGTTCTGTCACTGACCCGGGCAGAGCAGCCCTGTCGGTGCATGCAGCACACTGCCTGTGCAGGAGGGAACGTGCCAGGACTGCAGCGAGCAGCTGCTGCAGCACAGCAGTTCCTACAGAGGGGTGCAGAGAGCCCAGAGCCACTGCTGTGCAGTGTGCTGTGCTGGGGTGCTGCACCAGGGCAGGATGAGGGAGTGATGTGACGCCGCTTTGTCTTTTCCCATTTCAGGGTAGAAGCTCTCTCTGGGTTTCTTATGGCCTTTGCTGACCCTTGGGAGCAGATACCAAGGCAGGGACGAGGAGCCCCAGGAATGATTCGGGAACACGGGATTTAGCTTAGAGACAGGATGACAAGAAGCCAGACAGTGAATTCTGAGCTTTGTTTTGTCTTGTCTTTGTTTTGACTTCGTACTGCAGCCAGGTATGGCCTGCACTGCCCCTCTTTGTGCCTGGGGACGTCCTGTTCAGTGCCCAGTGCCGGGTGGGGACAGCTCTGTCTCCTGGACATGGGACCAGCATCCCTACAGAGGGCTGCATAGGGCAGGCAGGAGCTGGGGACAGTCCTGGGACCAGCTGCTCTGGAAGATGCTGAAAGCCAAACTGAGCCAGTAGGAAATGGATGCTGCCTGTCACACCAGCCCATGGCAGTGACTGGAGAGGTATCAGTGCACCCCAGTGTTCTCAGCATTGTGTCAGAGGATCTCTCCACTCGGTGCCAGGCTGGCTGTTCTCTGCACCCACAGGGTCGTGCCCGTGGGCAGCGGTGCTGCAGGAGGGGGTTGTTGTCCTTGCAGAGGGATGATTCGATTTATGATGCAGTTCTTGAAGCAGGCCCTGGTTTCATTTTCTCTTTGGAGCTTTGGAGTCTTTCCTTTAACTCCACAGTGGTGCGCAGTGCCACAGGGCGCGCTGCTTCCGTCAGGGCAGAGAGGGGCCAGCTGTGCTCAGCATTTCCAGCTGCACCTCCTGGAGCACAGTGTGCCCATCAGGGCCGTGGCAGCAGCATCTCTCCCCGGCCCTGGCTCCTGGGAAGCTTCTGCACCCGCTGTCAGGCTGCTCAGGTCGCCCTGCAGCCCCAGGGGTGCCGGTGCTGCTCCTGCCCCTGCAGCGAGGCGAGCAGGTCTGATGGGTTTGGGATCCTGGCTTGGCCTCTGCTCCCACCTGCCCCATCCTGTTCCCTGCCTGCAGGGTGCGGGCGTTCCACAGGCCGGTGGGTGCTTGCAGTGCTCAGAGCTGCTGCACCTGATTCTCACTGCTTCTACATCTGCTGCATCTTTCTGCAGGGGCTCCGAGGTGCCCTCAGGGGTACCCTCAGCTGTGGGATGAGTCAACACTGCTTGGGATGGGGTTTGTCCTTCTGCCAGCGGCAGCCAGGAGCAGGGGCACAGCCCAAGCTCTGCAGCACTTCTTGCGCTTCGTGTCCCTCTGTGCTCTGTGTCGCTGGGTGCTGCTGATGGGCCCGGCCCCGCTGCTCCCCCTGCTGGGTCAGCACAACCCTCTGTCGCAGCCCGGCCGCAGTGAGCGGTGCTTTGCTGAGATACAGAAGTGCTTGGGCTGTGGGTAATGAGAGGCAGGAATGAGAACGTGAAGTTTGCAAGTGAAACGAAAAGCAACCTGCAGTTCACCTGTGCTTGGTAACGAGAGCCTTCCGTGCCTGCTGCAGCATGTCCCAGCGGAGCCTGGCAGTGCGCGTTCAGCAGTGCGAGCTGCAGGCAGTGGGCAGCCCTGTGTGAGCAGCACGGGCAGCAGCTGTGTGTGTCCCTGTGGTGCCAGCATCCCGCCGGGCTCGTGGTGCCCTGCCCTGTGCTGTCCTCATCTGTGCACTCCCATCCCCTGCCCCGTTCCGTGCAGATGCTGAGGCAGTGGCTGCTGTTTGTTTGCACTCTCCCACTCAGAGCTCTTCCCAGACCTCGCTCCTTGTTCCTGCCTTGCTTCTGTGTGATGGTTCCTACTTGGGAACTTTGAGTGATCCCTTTCCTGCTTGAGCACCCGGGGTGCTGTCAGTGTCTGTTGCAGTTCATGACATCCACCCATTGCACACCAATGGGGAGGATCTCTGCATGTGTTTTGCTCAGATTTCAGCTTCCACCGTGTGTTCAGATGGCAGTAGAGACCAGGGGTGCTCGTTTGGGGTGATGGAGCAGCTCCAGGAGCAGGACGTGGGGGGTCCCCTTGTCAGGTTCTCCCACAGCTGAGGTTTGCATTGGCCCTGGATCTCTCCTGCAGCCCTGGAGCTGCATTTCCCCAGACCCACATGGTGGTGGCTGCTGCCTCTTGGGGCTGCAGCATCCTGCACTTGGCCCAGCACCAGGCACGCTGGGGGCTGAAGGAGGGTTTTCTGGCTAGGCAAGGAATGAAAGCAATGTTACAGGAGCGTATAAAGTACAGAACACAATTCGATGAGATTTTTTCCTAGGAGCTTTGTTGTCCATCGTCTCACATAAATCAGATCTATCACAGCTGTTAGGGCAGGAGCTCAAACTCTGCAGTCCCTTCTGTGTGAAGTCCTTCTCTCAGTCGTAGCTTCATGGATGCATTACCAAGGAGCAGCAGATTCTCTGGGCCCCGCTGGCCCATACTGTGTGTGTCTGCTCTTGAGCCCTGCCTTGGCAGAGCCTGTATGTTAGTTGTGCTGAGCTCCTGGGGAGGTGTTAGCAGACAGGGTTCCCCCTGTCCCGGATTTGGGGTAGCAAAAACTCTCCTGTCTCCAGGCAGACGTGGTGCTCCAAGCCCCTGCTCCAGCACAGGGCACAAGTGGGGCAGCAGGGCTCCTAGGCCTCATCTCTTGCTACAAAAAGCTCTGGGCTCCATCTGCAGGCGGTGGGCGTTGTGCTGCCAGCTGGGCTTTCTCTATATACTGCATGAACGCAGCTGGCAGCACCCACAGCAGTGTGATGGGAGGGCCAGGGCCAGAGCTGCAGGGTGCACGTCCTCGTGGCGTGCAGCTCAGCCCAGAAGGGAGCAACGAGGCTGGGCTCCTCACAGCTCCCTGCTAGGGGCCTTGGAGAGTGGATGGCTCAGCTGATGTCACTGAGTCCTTGCCCTGCTTGTCTCTGTTGGCTTCGGAATGTTACTGTTCCTCCAGGAGGAAAACAAAAGCGGAGAAGGGCAGCAGCTCCCCACACCCCCCCGGTGCCAGGTGCAGTGCATGGGGCGCAGCGTCCCCGCGTGCCACAGCCCCATGGGTGGAAGGCGCCGCGCGGGGTCCCTGCGCCTGCCAGCCTCGTGCTGAGCATCACCGCCTCATTCTGCCCTAGGCCACCAACGGCGGAGGAGCCTTCAGCGACTACTCCTCCTCGGTGCCCTCCACCCCCAGCATCAGCCAGCGGGAGCTGCGGATCGAGACCATCGCTGCCTCCAACACACCCACCCCCATCCGCAAGCAGTCCAAGCGGCGCTCCAACATCTTCACGGTACGCGGCGCCGGGGCCGGAGGAGCTTTGGGAGCGTTGCGGAGCCGGGAGAGGGGCAGGCAGCCCCTGTCTGTGCCAGGCTGCGGGGAACCTGGCCGTGCTGGCCAGGGAGGGGCGGGGAGGCGATGCTTCTGCACGTGTAGGGGGCGCAACAGACAGCACTGGTCCTGGTGTGTGCGCAGGCGTGCGTCAGCAAGCCGCTCCTTGCACAGCAGGAGTGTGCCCAGGGCGTGTTGGCTGTGTGCAGGGAGCACAGCTCCCCGTCCATTGCTGGGCAGCTGCACCTTGTGCGCACAGCACCTGCGAGCTCTGCTCCTCCTTGGAGCCGTGTCCCCAGAGCGTGGCACAGAGCCTCCGGTGCCCCCTGGTGGTGCCAGCTGTGCTGTGCCAGCACGTGGCCCTGGACCCCTGGCTCTGCTACCCGAGCCTTGCGGCTGCGTGACAGCCGCAGTGCTGTGGGGTCTGCTGGGGGCTGGGGAGAGCAGCAGAGAATGGAGGCGGCAGGGAGCCGGCAGAGCTGCGGGACCTGGGCAGCGCGGGGCCTTGGTGCAGGGATTGGCTGCTGGCTGGCTGAACGCAGCCCGCCTCCAGTGTGCTCACACCGTGCACGCACCGTGCACGCGGTCCTGCTCACACTTGCCCTGCTGTCAGCAGCCCCGAGTGTCCCTGTGCTGTCAGTGCAGCGGTGCTCCCGGTCCCCGTGCCCAGGTCAGGTCCCCGCGTTCCTCTCCCCTGGTGCCTGGTACGTGTGCCAGGCTCAGGCCCTCCTCCCATCTACGTGTGCTTCCCAGCCTCCATTGCTCCGTACTCCGTGTCTGCTGTCTGTGGAACTGCCCGCCACCAACCATTGTCCGTGTTGCACTGTGTTACTGTGTGAACAGCTGCCACTGCTCTGGTCCCCGATCACACCGACTCAGCATTCCACACCCCATCCCTCTCCTGCGCTATTGGCATCCCAAATTCCCAACTCCTCGTGCTGGGAGCACATCCCCCCCTCTGCTGGGATGTCCCGGCAGCTCCCTCTCTGGGGGTCCCCAGTGCTCTGTGCGCTCCCCACCCGTGCCCCCAGCTCCGTGCCCGTAGATCTGTGCCCGTGCTCCTGGCCCCCACAGCACGCGCTGTCTCTGTGTCCCCAACCTGCCCTGCAGCACAGGGCAGCGGCTCCACGGCTCCGCACGCATGGCTGCGTCCTCACCGCTGTCCCCTCCGTGTGCCCACACCTCCCTGGCGGTGCCCGGAGGTCCCCTGTTGGTGGTGGTCCTGCTTTTGTTGCCCCTCGGTGCCGATGGACTCCCCGCTCCCGCCGTTCTCGCTCATGCTTGCTGCTGTGCACCGTGCGCCCATGCACTGCCACCCATCCTCTGCTCACCGCGGGTTTGGACTCGCCGTCAGCTCATGCTCACGCTGTCGCTCCTCTCGGGGCTTGTCGGTGCCACGCTCAGCTCTCAGCCTGCGGGTGCCACGCTCGCTCGGTGCAGACGCGCTCATGGGGAGGCGGAGGGCTCGCTGTGGGGTCACGCTTCTTTGCTGTGGATGTCACCACCCTCCTGCAGCTCTTGCTCACTTGCTCATTCTGGGCTCCAGCTTGCTCTCACTGCGCCACTCACCCGTGCTCATCCTGGGCTCACTGCTTGCTCTGTGCTGGCGCACACATGGCTCACATTGAAGTCTTCACCCCGTGTGATCGTGGCAGCAGCAGCAGCAGCTCCTGACACCTCCTCCCGCAGCGGGGCAGGGCAGGCAGGCAGGGACGGCTCTTTCTGCCACTGGTTTCCCTGCGGGCAGCGCAGCGCGGCTGCGGCTGTCCCCGTGCCCCTATGCCGGGTCCCCCAGCCGGGCACGGTCTCTTTGCGCCCCGCGCTGCTCCGATCCGGCCCGAGCTGTGCCTGGCTCCTGCCTCCTCCTCCTCCCGCTCTCCTCCTGTCCTCTCCTCTCCTCCTCTTTGCTCTGGGCCCTGCCATTGCAGGGGAGGGCTGCGTGGGGGGCCGCTGGCTGGAGGCGGTGCCCGCCCGTCCCCACTGCCGCCCGCCGCCCGGTCCGGCTGCGCCCACCCGGCATCTCGTGTCCGTGTTCTGAGTATAACTTGCCAAACTCTTTATTCTTTCAATATTTGCAGATATGTGCCACTGTTTCCAACTTTTCATCAACAAAAAGGCCTTTCCAACTCCTTCCAAATTAGAAGATCCAGGTGGTTACACGGCACCTCTGTACCAATTCTCTCACTTTTCATTGCCTCTCCAGGGCCGGATAAGGGATGGGCACTGGGATTGATCTAAGATTAGAGGCTCGCCCGCCCTCCAGCCAGCATGGGTCCCCCCCTCGGAGACACGCAGGAGCCTTTTAAATCCCCCCATGTAAAGTCTAGGAGGCGCCGCGACGGCCTGCGCTGCACTTTGCCGGGACATTGCTGGGCCTGCCGGATGCTGGCGGCACCCGTGGGGCTGCCGGGCGACGACCCCACGGGCCGGGACGGGACGGGACGACGTGTGGCGCCGGGACGGCGATGGCAGCGAGTGCGGCTGGACGGGCCCAGGGACGCTTCGCTGCTGCTTGGAGCTCTGCGGGCGCCGCCGGCCCCCGGCTCCCTCCTCCCCGCCGCACCTCCTGCATGGACTCCTGCTCCTCTCCTCGCAGCACGGCGGCCGTCTGTGGCTCTTTAGTTTCTTCTCTTTCGATCTCTTTGTTCTGCTCTGGGCCCCGGGCCGGCGGATGGGGGTCCCGGCCGGGGGGCCGCCGCCCCCCTCTGATCCAAAGCACACGGGCGCTCCCGACGGGTGTGGGACGCTGCAGCGGCGCCGCGCTGCCCTCTCATTGTCGTGGTTCTGAATGTATTGGTCGTGCTCCATGCCGTGTATGACGTGGTATTGCCCTCTGTCCTAAGCACTTTGAATGAGTTCCGCTCCACAGACTGTACACTTCATATTGTATTTATTGGGGTTTGCTCTGCCCGGCGGGCGCCGCGCTCGGCCCCGGCCGTGGGATCGGTATTTACTGTCCATGCTCTTTTGTAAGGGCCGGTGTCCGCCCGGTGACCGTGCTACTTTGTATGGTGCAAGTGTGCTCCCGGAATAAACCTGTTGGATTGGTAGAGGTGTGAGTTCCTTTCACCGCTCGGCTCTCCCGCTGCCATCCATGCTCACCGCATCCCACGCATCTGTCTGTGCCGTGTCCGTGTGCCGGGGGCAGGCGGCCCCGCTCTGTAGGACAGCGCTGCGGGGCCGGGGGTCGGGGGGCCGGGAGCGCGGGGCTCTGTCCCGCGAGGGGCGGCGGGGCCACGTCCCTCCCATCCCACCCTAACGACCTCCATCTCTTCTCTTCCAGTCTCGGAAGGGCGCCGACGCGGAGCGGGACAAGAAGGTGCCGGAGTGCAAAGCGGACAGCATCGGCAGCGGGAGGGCCATCCCCATGAAGCAGGTGCGATCCTCCCCGCGCCGTTCCCTCGCGTCCCCCCCTCTGCATCCCCCTGTGCTCAGCCTCAATGCTTGCTCAGCGCTGGATCCTCAGTGCCAGAAGCACACCGAGGTTCTGGAGCGTGACCAGAGAGGGGCTGTGGGGGTCGGCGGCGCCATGCTGCGGGAGCGGTTGGGGATGGGGATGGGTCGATCTGGAGCACAGGAGGCTCGGGGAGACCTCACTGCTCTGTAAACCCTGAGAGGATGGAGCGTGCTGGGGCCGGCCTCTGCTGCAGCTAACGGCAGTACGGCGGGGGGGGGGTGGTCTCACGTTGTGCCTGGTTGAGCAGTGGGAACGATTTCTTGCAGCTGGGTACCGGCACACCTTCACTGGGGGCGTCCAGAGCCATGGAGACGTGGCACTTTGGGTCGTGCTCAGTGGGCACGGTGGGGGCTGAGTGTGAGGATCTCAGGGGTCTTCTCCAGCCTTAGTGCCTCTGTGAGGCATTGAAGGCAGCTCCCGGGAAGGGGCTTTGGGTGCAGACAGGGCACAGAGAATTCCCTGTCGGGAAACTGAGCACGGGGACAGGGCTGCAGCAGGAGCGGTTCCAGCAGAGGGCATCTGTGCCCCACACCTGCCACAGCCCTGCACGGCCCTGCGCTGTGCTCTGCCTCCGTGCATCCTTTGCCCTGAGCAGCACCGAGGGCTCTGAGGGCTGGGAGCAGCAAGAAGTTGCTGATGACACCAGGCTGTGGGGTGCAGTCAGAGCATCAGAGGGACGGGATGCCATCCAGACAGACCTGGACAAACTTGATCAGCAGGCCCATGTGAACCTCATGAGGTCTGACAAATGCAAATGCAAAATCTTGCACCTGGGTTGAGGCAGCCCTCACTACCAATACAAGCTGGGGGATGAAAGGATTGAGCACAGCCCTGCTGGGGCTACTGGTGGGCGGGAAGCCGGACATGAGCCAGCAATGCGTCCTCAGCCCCAAAAGCCAACTGTATCCTGGGCTGCATTGAAGGAAGCGTGGCCAGCGGGTCTGGGGAGGTGATCCTGCCCCTCTGCTCTGCACTGTGAGGCCTCACCTGGAGCACTGCGTCCAGATGTGGAGTCCTCAGTACGGGAGAGACAAAAAGGTCCATGCCAGGATCCAGCTGTGGTGTCCCTGTGCATTGCAGGGGAGTTGGAGTACATGGCCTTTGAAGGTCCCTTCCAACTCTAAGGATTCTGTGATTCTATGAAGTGGCTGCACCGTGCTGTGCCGTGCTGTGCCGTGCTGTGCTGTGCTGTGCTGTGCTGTTTGGCCCAAGGGAAACTCGAGGCACTGGGAGTTGACCCAAAGCATTGGTTGTCTGTGTGCATGTCAGCCTGAGAGCAGCAGCAGTGCTGGTTGAGAGGGCAAGTGGTCACTGGGTGATGTTGGCACCAGGGTTTTCTTGCACGGATGCACACACACCCTTGCAGCCCCTGGCTGTTCCCATGCTGAGCTGTGTGTGCAGGGAGGGCATGCATCCATGTGGGAACATGCTGGAGCTGGGACCCTCAGGGGACCAGAGGATCAGTTTTAAGTTAAATAGAAGAGATTTGGGTGAGATGCAAGGAGGAAATTCTTTACCCAGGCCCTCTCACTGCTGCCCAGAGCTGTGGATGCCCCATTCCTGCAGTGCTGAAGGCCATGGATGGGGCTGTGGGAGGTGTCCCTAAGGCTTGGGGGAGGCTTTGGGGTCTCTTCCAACCCAAACCATGCTGGGATTCCCCGGCCAGTCAGTGTGCTGCTGCAGGAGTTCCCCGGATGGCTGCACTGCATTGAGGCACTGCGTGTGGTGGCACTGCTGTGGGTTTGCCCAGGGCAGCTCAGTGCTGGGGATGGCAGCAGTGCAGGGGCAGAGCCGTGGGGATGCTGTACTTCCAGCATGGCACAGCGTGCACAGCCCCAGCACAGCATGTCAGTGTCAGCTGTGTGCTGGTCGCAGCCCTGCTCTTGGGAGGTGCAGATCCTTTTCTTATTCTCCTGGCTGCTGTGGTGGTCATGGTGCTCGTTACCATTTCTTCCACTGCTTCCCTGGCTGGGGGCCTTTCAGAGCAGGATGCTTCCCCTGCCTGCTCCCATATCTGTGTGTTGCTGGGCTGTGGCCAGGCTGCTGGAGCTGCAGTGCTTCGGAGCAGTTGTGGGGTTGCTGGGGAGCAGTGCTCGCCCAACCAGGTGGCCTCAGGGCACAGGGCTGCTCCTCCTTCGTGGGCTCCATTGTGCTGCAGCACTGTGCTGGAGCTGCCAGCCCTGGGGCAGTGCAGAGTGCTCGGGGAGCTGCCCTGCTCCTGAGATGCTGTGGCAGTCGGAATTGCAGCTCTCCTGTTTGCCTGAACCAAACGGTCCTTCCACAGCTTCTCAGGAGGATGCAAAGCTTTGTTCCCGATGGAGAACACAGGCCAGCAACCTGCACCCTGTGGAATGAGGGTGGGGTGACTGTGCAGGGATATTGGGGTGCTACAGGTCTCTGCAGTACTGCCAGCCCCCACCAGGCAGCCCCCTTGGAGGTACCACCAGTGGGACAGAAGCAGGGGCTCCCAAAGCACTGCTCTGTGTGGCAGAGCCTGGGGACAGACGGCGATGGCTGTGCTCTGATCAGGACCTGTGCTGTGGGTGGGTGCCTTGTGGGCTGCTTCCCAACACCTGGGGTTGGGTTCCACCGTGAGTGGAGCTCTGCAGGGGGGGCTCAGCACCGCAGCTTCGGTGCTGGAACGGTGAGCGGCCATGCGTTGCTCTCGGGACTTTTGCACACAGATCCTGGGCCAGTGGCTGGAGGGCTGCAGGACGAGAGGCCCAGATGGGTGTGTGAGGAGGGTGGAGGCTTTTCTGGGCATTGGAAGGCTCCAGGAGCACACCCTGCACTGCCTGTCCCCCAGCTGAGCTGCTCCATCTCCTGCCCCTCTCGCAGCCACACAGCAGAGCAGCGCAGTGGGATGGGGGCCGTGCTCTGAGCTTCCTCCTCTGCTGCAGCCGCTGCTCCTGCGCTCAGTGCTGATGCTGCGCCTGGAGCTCCACGAGGTCCTGGAGGAACTGAAAGTGTTTCCTTGCCGCTGAACGCCCGTCTCAGAGAAGTGGGTTAATGAGGGACGGTGCTCCCCCAGCTGTGTGTTACCAGGGGTTCCTAATTGTGCACGCATTGTTTCTGGCACCACTGCAGCCCGGTGGTCCCGGTCCGGCCCGGCTCCTTTTGGGCCATGCTGCAGCAGTGCCCAGGGCAGCAGCTCCTCCTCCTCGGGAGCTGGGATCATGCTGGGAGCTTAGATTACATTTAAATTGCCATTTGCATTTTCCAATCAATACGCGACTTTACAATTAAGTTTGGTGTTAAAATTCTTAGCAAAAAAGTGAGCGGAAGGGAGATTTGTGGAGCAAACGAGTCCTTTGGGGGCCATGGCTGCTCCCTGCTTCATTACACTGCATATTGCTACTGCTGCTTTTACGGAGCACCGCCGCCATCCGAACCCAGCAGAGGCAGCACCGCACCGGCCGGCGGCGTGCGGGGAAGGGGAGGAAGCGTGGGGATGGGAGCGGGTGGGCTCCCACTTCCTTTGCTCTGTGCACAGCCCCTGTGCTGGGGAGGAACTCTGGAGGAGTGAGCCTGTGGTGAGGAGCAGCACGGCCAGGGGGTGCGCAAGGAGGGGATGCGCCTGCCTGCAGCCCTGCCGTGGGCTGTGCGCCCCTGCGGCTCCCTGCCTCTCTTGGAGCACTGGAACAGGCTGCCCAAGGAGGCTGTGGATGCCCCATCCCTGCAGGCATTCAAGGCCAGGCTGGATGTGGCTCTGGGCAGCCTGGGCTGCTGGTTGGCGACCTGCACACAGCAGGGGTTGGAGCTGGATGAGCATCGTGCTCCTTTGCAACCCAGGCCGTTCTGTGACTCTGTGATGCATGGAGAGTTTCCTCCAGGAAAAAGCAGAGCTGGGCCAAATCTCCACAATCTGCCATCTCAAAGAAGTGGACTGCAGGGTGTGCAGCCCCAGTGCAGGCAGTGCAGCAGTGCCACCGGGACCTGCAGGACTCCCAGCTGCCTCTGATACAGCAGCAAAGGGCAGACACAGCCAAGCACTGTCCCTGTGTTCCACTGCTTCCTGCAGCATCTGTCCTGCAGGCCCCTTTGCCCTTGTTTTCTTAGGTGCTTACTCCCAGGTTTGGATTCTTGTGCCTTCTGGCTGGGTAAACTGGGCTGCCTGTACTCGGTTCTCTGTTTCTGGGTCTGTTTTGGCTTCTGTGTGTGAGGTTTCAGGTTTGCAGCTGAAGTGGCTGCAGAGAGCTCTGTGCTGCTCGGGGGCTCAGTAGGGGCTGCAGTGGGGGGGGCTCCACAGTTGGGCTGTGGGCACCAGCAGAGCAGGGGGCAGCTGGGGGTGGAGGTGGCAGCGCTGTGACAGGCGGGTGGACTGGGTCCATATATGGCCTGTGGGGTCGTGGTGCCTATTGGGGTCGTGGTGCCTATTGGGGTCGTGGTGCCCATGAGGCAGGGACTCACGCAGTGACCGTGCCAGATGTGTAACTTCTGTCAGCTCTAGAGCAGGTGTGCTTGAGAGAGGGCAAATAAATGCTCCCAAAAGAGAATCCACCATTTGTCCAGGTTGGCTGTAACACTGAGCCATCTTCACGTGTGGGGTTTTGTAAGGGAGAGGGCTGTCACTGTCAGAGTGCGTGTGCAGTGCAGCAGCGATGGGTTTGGGGTGAGGGTGGGGAGGAGGGGGAGCCCTGGAGGTGCTCCTGGTGGGCACCAAGGGCTCTGGGGTGCTCCCATAACACAGACAGCACTGAGGGAACGCGCGGGCTGGAGGGAGCCGTGGCTGAACCACAGGCATCACAGCATTTCAGCTCGGTGTGGGTTCTGTTACCTTCATGTTCTCTGTTCATGCTTTCCTTGGGCTCATTATGTAAAGAGCAGGAGTCAAATGCAGATGGGCAGACCTGTGTACACATATTTAGGCTGGACACACGTTTGCCATTTATCATCACTTGTTCCTGTCAGTGATTTTGCTTTGAGAGCTTCCACCTGGCTGGTTTATGTCTGTTAACAGCTGTGTGGATCTCATACACTTGGATGGCCCAGCGGCTGATCTTACTGTTCTTTTCTGACCTCTGTGATTTCAGTGTTACGTACTGCTCAGTCAGTATCACCAAAACAGTGCCTGTTGTCACCGGGTGCTGCGGCCATCCGTGCAGCCCTGCATTTCCATGGGGCAGACCCAGCATCCCCATCTCCAGGCAGCGCTCCACGCTGTGCACAGAGCTGCTCTGTGGGGAGGTGCTGGCATGGGGCCTGGAGCAGCGCCTTGCTGTCTGCCCAGAGATCCCTGGATGCGCCCGCCCTGCAGCCCGGGTGCTGCTTGTTCCCAAACCCCATCACTCATCCATCCCTTTGTCCCCATGCTGGCTCTGTGCTGTCCCATCCTCCCTGCTGGCAGGGCGCTCGGTGTCCTCCCCCAGGCTCTGCTGCAGTGGCCTCATGCCCGCCTTGTTGCTGCCTCCAATCCTGCCTGGTGCAGATTTCATAGGGTCAGAACTGGACTGGGAGAAGGGGAGGAGGGCACAGCCTTCAAAGTTGGTTTAATCCATGAAAGTTTGCTCTGGGCCGGGGTGTTGGGGAGGAGGATTGTGGCCATTCCCAGGCCCTGTGAGTGCGCAGTGCCTGGAGCCCAAGGGTCGGGTCTGGGGGAGCACCAGGTGGGAAGGGGTGCACCAGCACCTTGGCTGCTCCGTCTCCCAGAGTGTGTCCCTGGCTCCATCTGTTAGACACCTCTAGGGAGGAACTGCCGGCACCGAGGGAGCATCCATCCCTTGTGGCTGCCTCAAAGTATGGTCACCACCTCTCCTGAACGGTCCTTATCCACCCCCCCATCTGAGGCTGGAGGAAGGTGTGGAGCAGAGCAAGGAGTGCAGTCAGTGGTGAGGTTGGGCCCTGCCTTGCTTTTACGCCTTCCTTCAGCACAGCAGGAGGGGTGGTGGGACAGGGCACACGGACAGCCTCACTCTGAGGACGAGGTCTGGCTGGGGAGCGATGGGGAGGGCAGGGGAGCAGCCCACTGTGTGCCAGTCACAGAGAAGCACTGCTGGCAAGGCTCTGGGTGTTCTTGCGGGTCCTGTGTGTCTCCTGGGGTGGCCGTGGGGCTGCCTGGACCTAATGAGGCCTGAGGCTCTTGTCATTTCTCTTACAGGGCATCCTGCTGAAGCGCAGCGGCAAGTCGCTCAACAAGGAGTGGAAGAAGAAGTACGTGACGCTGTGTGACAACGGTGTGCTCACCTACCACCCCAGCCTGCACGTGAGTACTGCTGGCACGGGGCGAGGGGCAGGCAGGGCACGGCGGGCCCCTTTTGCTCCTGCAGGTGCCACGGCCACAGAGAGCTGCTGGCAGAGAGTTTGGCGTTGGTGAGGGCTGCAGACCCAGAGCGTGGGGTCATTCAGCAGAGCTGGATCTTAGCAAGGCCTGGAGGAAACCGTGTCCCTGCTCTGAAGGCTGTGTCTGCAGTGCCAGACTGGCTGGGAAGAGCTGATGGGAACGTAACTCAGCGCAGCAAGATGCTCAGTATATGCATCTGTCCGTTTCCCGTTGCCCTTCGTCAATCCATGAAGGCAGGGGCTGCTGCCTCCCCGCATCCTGGGTGAGGAGCGGGCAGAGGCTCCTCGCAGCCACGTCTGGTGCTGCCATTTGGGCGTGGAACAATTTTCCTGGCTGCTGGGTGTTGGGTAATGGGGACGCAGTGCCTGCACGGAGCCCGCCGTGCGCCAGCTCTCCATGCATCCCTGATCTCCTCGCTGCTCAGCTCAGGCACACAGCTGCTGCCCTATCCATCTCTGTCGCCTCCCCACTGTGGGGCTAATGACTTCTTCCCCGTTCCCTCTTGAGCACAGTTTGCTGCTGGAGCAGTGAGCAGAGGACGCGCACACCTGTGACACCCGCTGCAGCCGGGCTGCGTTGGCTGAGTCGGGGCGCAGCCCCCAGACGCTGCAGGCCCCTCTGCGTCCCCATTCCCTCAGATGTAACGTTTGAGTGCTGAGCCCCGTGGGCAGCCGTGCCTCTGATTCTTGGGTTGCTGTGCTGCGTCCCCACATCCTGAGCCCCATCCTTACCGAAGGAGCCAGTCCTCCTGTTTGCTTTCCCTGATTCAGAGGAGTGCTGGAACAGTTGGTTTTCCTTCGCAGCCTTGGAGCTGTGTGGTGTTCTGTGTGATTCTGCAGCCCTCTAACTTTGCAGCCCCGTTTTTTGGTCTTTATTGACCCAAAGCGGGAGGCAGTGGCTGCTCTGAGCTCACATGCGTGCGTGGGTTTATCAGCTTTCCATTGGAGGCATCATAGGGCCCCTGTTAAAATCAGTGGCAGAGGCAGAGTAATTGGGGATGTTGTTTAACTGCTCTCAGCTGATGCTGCTGCACACTGGGTTTGTCTCCTCTTTACTCCATTCGTTCCTCAGGGGGTGATCTCGTTTGATGTCAGTTGCTTTCCTTACTTCACTTCTTTGGTGTTTCGTTTCATTTCTGTGCTGCCTCGAGCAAAAATCTGGTTTGCTTCCACCTGGTGCAACTGGTGATGCACAGCCCATAGCTGAGAGGTGCGGGTGGGCGCCTCCTCCCCCACATCTCTTGGAAAGCTTTCAGCCTTGCACCAGGGTAGCGGTGCCCCCAGTTTCCCTGCAGCAGAGACCCGTTATGTGTGGGGCACAGGAGCCTTTCCTCGCCTTCCCTGCATGAGGGTTGGGTGCAGGGACAGCCTTTCAGATTGGTGCTTCCAATGGGGCCCCGCTAAGTCCTGCCCTCCCATCTTCTGTGGTGAACCAGGGGGTGCTTCCTGCCCTCTGGCAGCACAAAGTGGGCACCTGTGTTGCAGTCATTGGGGTTGGGAGGGCCCTCTGGGGGTCATCGATTCCAACTCCTTGCTAAAGGAGGTTCCCTGCAAGACATTGCATCCTTCACAGGATGTGAAGCAGAGCTCATGGGTCAAAACTGGGCCTGCTGCTTTGTCCCCTCACTTGTGGGAATGCAGGCGGTGAGGTGAATGCAGGGCACAGAGCCCAACCCCCCCAGGGTGCTCAGCCCCAGGGCATCTCTGGGCAGCCCGCTCTGGTGCTCGGCGACCCTGCACACAGCGGGGGGTTGAAGCTAGATGAGCACTGCGGTCCTTTCCAACCCGTATGGTTCTATGGTTCTATGATCTCTTGGCTGCTTTGCGTTCCAGTGGCATTCCTCGGGGTTGTCCAGGTGTTCCCTGCCCGGGATCTCTTCTCTCTGTCATCCCTCTGCCCATCGCTGCCCAGCAGGGATGGGAGTGGTGCCCCCTCCGGGTCTGCGCCCCATCGCTCGGCAGGGTCGTGCTTCTCATCTCACCACCAAAGGTGCCCTGTCAGGGCTGTGCACCTCGCACCTATTCCAGGCGCTGTGTCTGGGCTCCTCCAGCCCCTCCTCGGCATTGCCTCTCTGCAGTCACACAAGGGCTTCGCAGAGGGGCTGCTGGCACACGGATGAGCAGCAGCGGCTCCAAGCCCAGGCGCTCGGGTGGCGCAGCGGCACAGAGCTGTGCAGGTAGCGGAGCCGGGGCTGCGCAGCGGTCAGAGCCCCGCTCTGTGCTGACAGATCTCCTCCCTGCGCCTGCATTTCTGCCACCTTCCCACGTGTGTTCAGAGGCAGGAAGCATTGAGCAGGGCGAGCTGCGCGGTGCGGTCCGGCACCTCCCCGGCCGCGTGCGCTGCTCCCACTGGCAGGGCTGAGCCGTGGCCGCGCTGCGCGGAGCCGAGCGGAGCAGCTCCCATTTTGCAGCCAGTGGAGCCATTCACACAATCACCTTCTGTTAATTCTATCTGCAACATCAATTAAATTGTTTGTAGAAACTAATTGAATGTGGCTTAATCACACATCTTAATAGCTTTCCACGCTTTGAACTCGTTGTTAATTCCAGTAATAAAATGAAATGAGAGAACTGGCTGGGTAATTAGCGAGGAGGCTTGGGAAGAAATTGCTGTTTTATGGCGTGCAATAAAAGCGGAGCGCCGGTGACCGCTGGCTCCGGCAGGCAGCCGGCGAGCGCCGATTGTGCTGAGCCAGGGAAATCCTGCGGCCCAGGGCTGCGCCGGGCCCCTGGGTGGGAGCGGTGCGGGGCGGCGCTGCGCTGGGAGGCGCTGAGGAGCCGCCGGGGATGTGCGCGCATCCCCACCGCTGCGCGGGTCGCGGTGCCGGGGGCTGCGGTCGGACGGGGGCCGCCCCGCCGCCGTCGGTTGGAGCGGCTGCGCCTTGCTGGCTGCGCTCGTCTCGCCGAGCTCTGGAGCAGCGGTTCGTGCAGCACCGGCTCGGATCCGGCCTCTCGGCGACCTCCTTGTGAACTGGAGCGAGCCCCGAGCCCCGCAGCTCGCCCCACGCGGCTGCTGCCTCTCGTCTGCCCATCATGGAGAAGAGAGCTGGGGCTGCCCCACGAGCCTGGAGGACCCAGAGCCGGGACGGGGCTGGCACTCCTGGGCTCTGCGGGGACCACAGGCTCAGTGCTTTCCTTCTGTGTGGGCCCAGGGAAGCGCGGCTGGGTGCAGCGCTGCAGGGTAGGACAGGTGTGGTGGCTCCCAGCACAGCTGCAGCCGTGCTCTGGCTGAAGGTGGGTGCTGCTGGGAGGGCAGAGTGATGCTCGTGGTCTCCATGCGGTCTGGAGCTGCGCAGTGCTGTGCCGGCAGTGGGGGAAGCGCCGAGTGTGGAGCGACTCAGAGCCGCAGAGGTGCAGTGCAGAGGGGCGCTGTGCTGAGCTGAGCCACTCTGGGTTTGAGTCACGCCAGCGGGGACCTGAGCTGGAGTTCCCACATCGCATTACCCACACCAAGTTATGTTGCACTGTCATCTGCTGCGCCTGAGCGCTGTGATGCAGGAGCTGGGATCTGCCTGCTGTCTGTGTGCCCCTCTGCCCCATCTGTCCCCACCCCCAGACAGGACTGTACAAAGAGATCCTCACAGCACACCAACTCGACCTGCTCTCGCTGTGCAGGCGCTGGGAGCAGGACCCAGCACTCCTAGGTCCCAGCCCAGAGGTCGGAGCAGCATCCTGGCCCTCCATCCACTTCCTAGGCTGCCTGCAGGCTTGGGCACCAGCGCTGGGGTGGCCATGGGCTGTGAGATGTCTGCCCCTGAGCTCAGCTCGGTGCCCCTGTGTGGGCTGGACACCGGTCACCCCCAGGGGCTGCTGTCAGCCACGAGCGTGGGGGGATCCGGATGTTGGTTGGATGGAGTGAATGAGAGAGGGGCTGAGAGTGACGGGCCGTGGCTGATCTGTACCATCTCTGCCATAGGACTACATGCAGAACGTGCACGGGAAGGAGATCGACCTGCTGAGAACCACAGTGAAGGTGCCTGGCAAGCGGCTGCCCAGGGCTTCGGCGGCAGCGCCCGGCGCGAGCCCCAAAGCCAACGGGCTGGCAAAGGAGCGGAGCAGCACACAGCTGGCAGCCAGCACGGGTAGGTGGTGGCGTTGTGTCCGTCCCTCTGCACGGCTTTGGCTCTGCCTGCAATAACATCCTTGTAGGTAAGCACAGGAGGAGTGGGAGAGCCGAGCGGACGGGGAGGTGCGTTGGGAGCTGCTGGCAGAGCTCTGGGTGCCCAGCGGCGCAGTGTGGTTGGAGGTCTGTGGCCAGCAGTGTTCCCCAGGGGTCGGTGTTGGGTACGGTGTTCATCATCATTAGTGACCTGGATGAAGGGATGGAGTCCATCCTCAGCAATTTGGTGATGGCACAAAGCTGGGAGGAGCTGCTGGCACACCTGAAGGCTGCGCTGCTGTTCAGTGAGACCTGGACAGGCTGAGAGCTGTGTGGAGAGGAATCTTATGGGGTTCAGCAAGGGCAGTGCAAGGTCCTACATCAGGGGGGAATAACCACAGTGTTGGTACGGGATGGGGCTGAGCTGCTGGAAAGGAGCTCTGCAGAGACAGACCTGGGGATCCTGGTTGACCAGCAATGGACCAGTGGTTGGTGCCAGGCTGACTATGAGCCAGCAGCGTGTCCTCACCTCGTGCCTTCCCTTTAGGGGACCTTTAGGGGGGCTGGACTAGAAGGTCTCAGGAGGTCTCTTCCAGCCCCCAGGGTTCGGTGCCTGCAGGGTGCTGTTGGGGTGGTGGGGGCTGTGCTGCCCTTCCTGCAGCAGGTGGGCAGCACCTGGCTCTGCTGAGCAGCAGTGGGAGCTGCTCCTGGCTTTTAGTGCTCTGACTGCCTTTGGTGTGTGCTGGTGTCTCTGGGTAACCCCCAGGTGGCTGCTGCTGGGTTCTAAGTATGGTATGAGTTGCACGAGCTGCTGTGTATGGAGGCAGCTGCTGCAACATAAAGTGGTGGAAAAGTGCCGGCGATGTTTCTTGACCATGGAAAGCTCTGTTCTGATCCTGCCTGCTTCTGTGGCTCCTTTTCCTTCTTACTTTTTCCTGCGTCCATACAATCCCAGGGAGCTGCCCTGGGATTACTGTCACTGTGCAGCAGCCACCACACGTGGGGCTGAGTGGGTCTGGGGGAGCTCAGTGCCAGCTCTTGTGGTCAGCAGCACCCAGGACAGGCACTGCAGTGGAGCACTGAACCCTCCTGACCCACTGCAGGTTGTGCAGAGCCACGCTCGCTCTGCAGTTTGGGTATGGCTGCAGTGATTTTTGACCAAGGATGTGGAGCTTCTGCCTGTAGTCTGCCTCTGCTCTCTGCTGTTTGCTGCTACTTCTTCACCACCACTGCCACGCGCCCTCAGCATGCGGGAGCCCGGTGGCAGCTCTGCCCCTGCACAGCACTGCTCAGACGTATTTGCAGGGTGCTGGGTGTGATGTCTGCACCCACAGTTACCAGAGCTGTGAGGAGGATTCAGGCAAGGCACAGAACAGCTCCTGTGATGAATCCTGCACCATGTACCCCATGTCCCCCCCCTGCAGCTGTCCTGCCCTCCTGTGCTCACAGCTGGGATGTGGGATGGGACGTGGGTTGTGATGTGAGTTGTTCCTGGTCACTGCTGCCTGGAGCCCTGCGTGGGGCCTCAGCCTCACCTGCAGCAAGAGGAGAGCAGCACAGGGCTGTGGTTGGAGCTGCAGCTCCCTGGCAGGGAGTGTGAGTCAGTGCTGACGTCGTGTGTCAGGAGCGTGGTGGGCTTAGTGCTGTTTGGAGCCTTGAACACCAGGTCAGGTATCTTCCTACAAGAGATGCTTTGTGTGCGCTGCATGGGTGCTGCGGGCTGTGCTGGCATCAGATCAGTGAATGTGGGATCCCCATTCACACACTGCCTTCGCTCTGCACCCCTGCATAGCACACTCCCCAGCACCGTGTCCCCATAGCAACATGTCCCCATAGCACCGTGTCCCCCCAGCACAATGTCCCCACAGTGCTGTATCCCAGCACTGTCCCCCCGCAGCGCACAGCACCGGGGATGGGGCAGCAGCCTCAGGTGTGCGTTGGCTTTGCACAGCCGTGTGGTGCTGCACACAGACAGCACAGCAGTGGGGCGCTCGGCGGGGCTCTGCTCAGCCTGCTCTGGTGCAGCTGATGGCTGGGTGGAAGAACTCCGCTGTGGTAACAGCTGCTCCCTGGGCACCGTGTCCCTGCTGTCCCTCTCTGGGCAGTGCAGCCCTCAGCAGTGCTGTGCCCGTGACCATCTCCAGGGCTGTGCTCTGCAGATGGGGCTCTGCTCTCCCCCAGCAGCGTGTGGGTGCAGCACAGCGCATGGCGAGGTTGGAGCCGTGCCACTGAGAGCTGTGCCACTGTTCTCAGGTGGGGAGAGAGGAGGAGGGGGAACGAAGTTGGAGTGCTCTCAGCATTTCCAGAGGTGTGCGGGCAGCACGCAGCGCTGCTGGGGCTCCGGCCGAGCTCCGGTGTGGGGCAGACACAGCACAGAGCTGAGTGAAGGGATGGAGAGCTGCTGGTATGGGAACTGCACGGCTGGGCTCAGGGATGGCCGTGCCCAGTAATGCACTGCTCACGTCACACATTCCCTGCACAAACACTGCTTCTGAGGCACAATGTCACGCTGCAGCTGTCGGCGTTGGGATCTTCTGCCCATGTCTGCCTCTGCTTTACGTTTCGTTGCAGAGGTGCAGAAGCGTGAAGTCACAGAATCACAGAACATCCCGGGTTGGAAGGGACCGTAGGGATCGTTGGTTCCCATTCAGTGCTGCAGCAGCTCATCTCTGGGCTTGTAAACTCCTCTGACACGCGGTGCAGAGCTTGGCTCCCAACCAAAACTCTGTCCTCAGTTAGAAGTGGTTTCGTATCGTTGCTGTTTTGTTCACCTCCTTGTGCCCCGGGTGTCCATCAGGCTGTGATCTGAGCTGTTGCAAGTTGCTCGTTGAGAACTGCATCCCCTCAGGCTGTGCTGGCAGAGCGGCCTCTGCTTTGCTCTGCTTGTTCAGCCTTCACTGTGCAATGCAGTGCCCTCCTGGCTTCAGTCCCTCCATGCAGTTGTATCGGTGAGGGCCAACCAGGGCCACTGCAGTAGCTGAGAGCTGGGTGCAGTCCCACAGCTGGCTGAGTGGGGCTGAGCCAGTGCTGCACGCAGAGCTGGGCAGCAATGCAGCTCTGCAGCTGGGTGCTGGGCAGGGCGCTGCGGGATGGTTGGGGTGCTGCGGGGTGCTGCAGAGCAGTGCGGTGTCCTGGGAGATCCAGAGGTGCATGGGGAAGGAGGGAGAGCTTCCTTCCCACACATCCAGGGCAGGATCTCTCATCCCTGGGATGGGACTCATGTGCGTGAGGGCCAGCAGCCCATGGTGTCGGTGGTGAGCAGATTTAGACAGTCCGTGGTTGTTAGCATTCATGAAGTGTTATCCTTAATGTAACAAACAGTCCGAGAAGTGTTTTGAGTCTCAAAGGTGCCATTTCTTCAGTGTGCTGCTAATGCCACGTGGATACAGAGCAGGTCTCTGCAGTGGGGCCAGCTGTCTGCCATGGGGCCATGTGTCTGCATTGGGGCTGCATGTTTCTAGTGGGGTCAGGTGTCTGCCACGGGGTCCAGTGTCTGCAATGGGGCCAGGTGTGTGCAGAGGGTGTTGTTGGTCGGCTCCCTTTGGGGCTGCAGCTGCTAGAGATGGACTGGGGCTCATGCGGTGCGTGCTGAGGCAGTGTTATGTAGGAGTGATCACTCTTTGTGATGGTTCCTTCTGGATGTGGAGGGAGAAATCTGATGTTTCAGTGCCACATGGTGAGGGCTGCGGAGACCCCTGAAGTGTCACAGGGAAAAGACAAGTGGGTGCTGCTCCTCAGACGGGGTTCAGGAGGGTTCTCAGCAGTGCCTGCCCTGTGGGAAGCAGGGCTGTGCTGCGGGGCTGGGAGCTGTGCTGCACAGGGCGGTGCGGGGATGCAGAGCACAGAGCCCAGCAGGGCTCCTGCAGTCAGGGGCAAGCAGTGCTCACTGCGTGGTGCAAAGCCAGCAGCGTCTGGGCTGGGAGCACCAGCAGGACGGGCCCTTCTCACCTGGGAATGCATTCTGGGTGTGAAGGGCTGCACGCCTGGCGTTTGGTGGTGTATCCCTTATAGTGTGGCAGCGTGGCTTTGGGTGTCTCCTCCTCCAGGATCACCGCTGTGCTCTGGCTGTGGGTCAGCAGCTCACCCCTTCTGCTTTGGTGCCCCATCAGTGCGTGTTTTGAGCTGGAAGGACGAAGGCAGCTCTCACTCGGATGGGATGGAAAGCATCCCAGGGACCACGTCCATCACCTTGAGCCTGGTCTGAGCACAGCTGCAGCCCTGGGTCACTGCTTTGCAGAGGGGCCCTTCTCCCAGCACAGGGAGATGCACGGAGGCCACTGCTGGAGGACGTGGGCTGTGCTGCGTGCATCCCCGCACGCTTAACCTGGGCACCCGCGGAGCCCGTGACTCTGCTGCTGCACGGTGCGGCTGGACACAGGGCCCCGGTGAGCAGCCAGCAGAGAAAGGGGAGGATGGAGGCGGCTCCTCAGCTCCTCCTGCTCGTGCGCGGTTGCTCCTGGAGCCGGGGAGGCGCTGTGAGCGCTCGGTGCTGCTGGAGATGCTGCTCACGGTGCGGTGCGTGGTGGCGCGGGGTCCTCGCTCGCCCCCAGGTGCCGGGAGCCCATTGCGCCGCCCGGTCCCCGCTGAGCCCCCGCCGGCCGCGCTGCCCCCCAGCGCAGTGGATGGGCTCCCCGGGCCGGGTGCCGCGCCTGCTGTGCTCATGTCACGTCGGGCTCCGTCGATGTTAACATCTCATTATCTTTGTTACTGTAATTACATTATCCGCTGCTTTATGCAGAATTATTCTCCGAGGACTAATTGATGGATCCATGTTTAATTCATTAATCATTAGCATCAAATTCGACAATTACAGTGCACACTGATTGTGGAATTTCAAATGTAATGAGGGAAGAATTAACAAAGAAAAGGGAAAACCAGTTTCCCGGCACGGTGCTGCTCGCCGTGGGGGACGCTGACATTGAGGGAGAGCAGCAGCAGAGGGCAGCGCTGGGACCGTCCCGTACCGGAGCCGCCCCGTCCGGT